TGAACCTGGTTTGTACTCAGGAAAGCTTTATAATGACACTACCAAATGCTTCACTTTTCCATGTGAATGAAAAACAGGCAGAATGGTAATATGTTTTGTCACAAACTTGGTTTACCGGAAGGACAGCTGAAAACATCAGATTAGTATCATTTTATGAGATTTGATTTCATGGGTTGTAGATGTTAACTAAATGCATCTGTATGTTTAAGTTTATATTTACACCAGCTTTAGCTGACTTTCTTGGCAGTAGGATTTAGCTAGGTTTAGAGCAACTGTGTAAAACATACGTACAAGCTCAGATTTTCACCATGTATAAATTGAGCGAAGATGGAGTTGCATTCAAGATGATAAAACATCAAAAATTAAACTGCACTGATTAATTGCAGCAGGGAGGAATTTGAAGAAAGATGTGCTTAATTCAGATACTGAATTTTCCTCTCTGTTTGAATTGAAGGTTTTCTTTTTTATTCATTTGATTGTTAGGTTTTTTCTTTTGCAATTATGTGTTTCCTATTGTCCTGAAAGAGACTTTGATTAAAAAAGATGAAGAATTTTTACTTACCTTGTTCCATCATCTCCAGAAGGCCTTTCTTAATGAGTTCATCCCGACCTTGTCGTGCTGTCATCTTCTTCTCCAGCACTGCATGAAGTAGTAGCATAACACAGCACCAGTTAACAACAGAGTATTCATATAATGGAGTGAGAAAGATGCAATGTGGAAATTCCCTCTAGTCTTAACTACTGTGTGCTTGGAAGGAACTGCAAGGATTTTGTTTTGGGGAGCATGGACTGGTGAGCCTGTTTGTGCCTTTTTCTTTGTTAAAACAGCTGTAAAATCACCCACATGTAGAGCTGAGATTTATGATCTAACCTACTGTCTGATCACACTGAATACAGAGTAACTGGGATATTAGAGCCTTCATGCCGTTTAATACGGCACGCTGGAGGTGCCTCAGGAAGTGGTGTCCTTTACTGTGATGCTCTACAGGGTATCAGGGCAAGTGGAGGGAATTGCACCATCCGATCTCAGGAAAAGGCAAGTGGGTTTGTCTCCTTACTGATCTCCTGGGACATCCCTGGAGACTAGAGAAAGCATGCAGTGCTGTGCGCTGGGCTCCTTCACCGCAGAGACAGCTGCTTGAGGGAAGACATTTTACATGCTGTAGCTCCCTCCTGTCACTTTGCATAATGTTACTGTGACCTATATAATCTTCACCCCAAATAAAAGGGGTGATGATACTTGGGGCCATAAATGTAGCCTATTTTGGAGAAGGGACAGCCTATGAAAAGCAGTCTGTGTCAAGGCTTGTCCTTCACTCTCATACTTTGACCTTTTCTTCTAAAGGTACCATATTGTATTATATAGGAAGTCAGTCTATATGGGGTCTTTCTAGCCTTAAATATTATTATTAATCTGTAACATGCTGAAATCTCTGAGTTAGGCTCAGATCAGGTCACCATTAACATTTCCTATGTAAGCAAATTTTGCCCAAGCTAAGCTTTGCTCTGTGTAGCATCACTCTCTTGTTCGCATCCTACCTGCAGATGTCTGCTTTAGCTTCTCGTTTTTCTTTTTTCGCCACTTCCATGGTTTGAAGATCCTGCCCAGTGTTGCCAGTTTGCTGTTCCTCCTCACTGGCGGAGTTCGAATCCCTGAGACCAAGTAGTCAGAATGCATTGCAGGGGACTGCTCCATCTCATCTGAGAGGGGAAGAGAGGAAAGCCAGCTGTTAGACAAAAAGCTTTAGCATAAGACTTAAAAAGGGGAGGCAAATGGAGGCTCACCAGCTCACAAGCATTCAGTCTAGTCACTGAGATAAGCAGTGCAAGACTTTGAAAGAAAGTCTCTGTGTTGCTGGAGCCGGCAGCCAGGCCGAGGGATGCCAGCGAGAGAGGCGTTCAACCTCACTGTGCCAGCCCAGTGCTTCCTACCAGCTGCTCTCTTGACTCTGGTCTTGCACAGTACCTGTCTGGGTGCCAAATATTTCAGTATCTCCACTGCTGACGTCCCTCATGGATTAATCAGGGCTATTAGGCCCACCGAGAGGGGGATGTGCTGAATTTGTTCACCCTCTGCTTTATTCCATCGCTCTCCTACTTTTGTCCATGCCTGGTACTCACCAAGGTAAGGTGTTACTCACTCAAGGAGGTGCTACTCTCCCTCCCAAGGGCTGCATGTAACTGCATTACAGCCTTCTGAAATGTGGAGAGCTGAGAGCTCCCAATAGCTTTAATAGGGAGCAGTAGAAATTTAACACATCTGTAAATGAGGCCCATGCAGCCTCCAGTTAATCACATAAATGTAATGTTCATTTAGAAAAATTTAGACCTTTATGAAAAGCTGAGAGGAAGTGTGACAAAGCTCAGGTCCCTTCTGAATTCCAAGCTTCCAGTTCTGTTCTCGGGCCACAGGATATTGCTGCCTTTTAAATGAACTCTTTTCACATAAGCTAACACATAACACACTGACTTGTGTGAGATAATGCAGATCTTGTGTATAAGAATAGTTTGTTTGATATGTGCTACAGAAGTAAAATCCTAGAACTGCTGTGCAAATTTATTCCTTGAGGAAGCTAAAGGGAAAATTCCTTCCCTTTTATCCAGGCAAGCCACAGGATTTCAGAGATAATGCTTCAGCTGGAAAAGCAATTTAGGTATTTTTAATATTTTGTCTTGAAAATACACTGTAAGTTTTGCTTATAGACAAGTCTTGCACAAAACAATACATACTGACTATTCACAGTTTTGTGCTAGTCAGTACCATGAAAGAAAGTAGCACAGTTCCATAAACAGGCTTATTGATGGCTTTACTCAGCTTTGTATTTGAGCACCAATACAGTGATTGTTAAAAGAGAAGCTGCCATCAGTAATCAGACGTGTTACGTGAATAAAAACTGAATGACAATTTGTATTTTTTTTCAACAATCAGTTATAATTTAAATGAGCAGTGTGGAGCTATGAACATATGCACATTTCCAAGTAATTTCTCTCTGGAACAGCAACATTTATCATAAATTGCTTTATGACTGCGAGATAAAAACTATACAGCATCTTCTAGGCTTTTTTTTAAGTCAACAGGGTGAAAATGCTTAAATCACAGCATGGAGGTGGGGATTTCCAAGTAAACAGGAAACAATTTTTGGAAGGTTATTAAAAACAGCAGGGGAATCAACACATTCCTCCTCTTCCATTTAATTTTGAAAATACTGGTAATAGAGATGAATCATTCAGTGGAGACAAACTAAAAACTTGGCCGTGTGAACTATCAGAACAGAGAAAAGGCTGTAACAATTCCCACCCCCCCACATTGTGCGTGCACAGTGAATTTCTCTTTCTGTGTACTGAATTTAGAGCATCTTTTGTCTCATTCCACAGAGTTTATCTTGGGGTTTAATTTAGAAGAGATTTAAACTGTATGCAAAAATATATTTTTGCCTTTGAAAGAATGGTGTCTACCCAAGGTGATAGTTATGATTTACAGTTTGGAGGTCAATATTAAGTTGAGAGCAGAAGCTAGCAATGAGCCTAGCACAGGAGGAGGGCAGTAGCCTACAGGCCACAGCTGGAGTGCCAAGATACCATGCCCTTTACCAAATACATATTCAAAAATGAGAAGTATCACAGAAATAAGCTTCGAAGAAGTAGAGCTGCTCTTGATTACAGAGAAGGCAATGAGAATGGAAAATGGCAGAGTAGATCTGCTATTAATTTGCTATTATGATTACTTTAAAGCTGTAATAGAAGCCTCAGAAAATAGCATTTGGCCATTTCTTGTGACATCCTTTGAGTGGGAATGGAAATGTTCACAAAATTAGCTCATCTCAAAAGAGCTGTAGATCAGACTGTAAATCAGACCCTTGTCCCTGGAAGCTACAGTGGAGTAGGACAGCCTCAGCTTAGCCATCCCTGGAGACCAGGGGAGACTGCACTGGTGCTCAAACTATTCCTACCATCCCAGGAATTTCTCAAGCATGTAAGTGAAGATTAAATAAGAAGCTGATTTAAAGCAGCACCTTGGTAAGTTACTGATCCTACTGCATTTCATTCAGGATGTAGGTGTCTGCAAAGTGGTTTAGGCATCATCCACATGTTTTGTTTAACACTGGTAGCATGAGATCATTGTACCTTTTTTGCCAGATAGCAGGGGCTGTAGACAGAACCTGGAAGTCATTCAAACCTAAACCTGTGTGTCTCTGGCAATGTTTATTATCCCAGATATTCCCCTAAGAAAGAGAATGGGGAGATATTGCAACGGCACTAAGAAATCCCTAAGTGCCCTGTAGTGATCAGTGCTTCCGTAGTTTCTGCCAGCCCTGTCAACTGGGTTTCTTCCACCCCCTTCTGCCGTCTTGGTTGTGGAAATGTAAGGATTTTATGCTCAAGGACTTTGGTTACAGATGAAATACAGATAGAAATCAAATGTCAGAGAAGGAATAGTAGCTAAAACAAAAGTTCCAGTGGAGGTTTTCGTGGCTTTTTAACTTTATTAATGCTTCTCGTACGGTACAGACAGTTCTTAAGCAAATGGTTTTATCACCTGGTACATTCTCGCCATATGCAGTTCCTACACTGTGCATTTGGAGAGATGGACACAAAAAAAAATAGAGAGACACACAGTAAGACAGATGTCCTGAAGTCATAAATAACAAGGAAATGGTCTCACTGGCAATAAGAATCACAAGAAAGCCCTTGGAGGTCCTCATTTCCAGTCAGTTCATTTTCTCTTGGTTGTGGGTTGGCTGCTTGGGAGATAAGTTGACAGCACAAAAAGCAGTTCCCACGTACAGCAATGAATGCTGAAGGAGAAGGCGCACCTAAATATCAGCCAGTTCCTGCAGCCAACAAGCTGCCAAGACTTGCCAACCCTCCAACCACTCTGTGAAATATTCAGCACATTTTTTAATCTGCAGTCAATATTTTAATTATGCTAACTGTTCTGTGGAATAATGCAGTTATTTCTCCCAGAGCCTGATAGCCTGGGGCCAGGCCATGCAATTACATAGAGGATGTCTGCAAAATATAAACAGCTGAGAGACTCTCCATATCAGCAAGGAGAAATGAGCAACAGCTTAACTAGCTGTGTAATGTAGGATGAGGGACAGTCATTATACAGGGTCAGGTGAGCACAAGCTTAACCCACAGCACAGCAACCTACCCCTGCCCAGCACAGGGAGGCCAGGCGCTGCTTGGCCATCACTGCTGAGACAGACCAGTTGCTCCTATACTGTCCCACAAGGAGATAGTTGTCAGCCCTGAGGGGCTAGAGCATTTTGCTCTGACTGAAGCTTGTTGGCTGTTTAGGTAGAAATTACTTTCAAGTCCCTGCTGTACCCTGTTGAGGGCAAAGGCTTCTGTGCTGGAGCTCCAGATCCAAAACAAACCCCTCATATATCACACAGTTGTAATCTGCTCTGTGCATGTCAAAGAGGTGGAAATGAATGTGGCTGGGCCCCTGATGATGATGCTGGTCAAGTACTTCTTACAGTGCTAGCTGGGGTAATTTCTAGAGCTCCTAACAGTGGTCAAGAGTGTGAATGGCTTGATGTCTGAGACATCCCAGATCAGATGAGGGGAGAGGTTCTGACCTGACGGGTATTGTTCTGCAGTACTGCTCTGGGCTGCAGAATAAACCAGGCAACAGAGAAGAAGGAAACAAACCATAATATTCACTACATTTGGCTGTAGGGTCTGATCCCTCAGAAAGTCGCAGCATCTGCAGCTTCTGTTTACATCAGCAGCAGTTGTGGTGATCAGTGTTTCTGAAAAACACTCCATTGCTTTCTTTAAAATACTGTGGTGACATAAATAGAATACCCTTTCTGTTAGTCCCTTCTGTATAGGAATTGTGCATGAATTGTGCAGTTTTTCTGTGCATAGAAGCTCTCCCATTTACAGATGTCAAGTCCTGACTCTATCCCTTCTAGCCTCCCACAGATGTGGGGCAGGTTTTTTGGGAGTACGGTGAAGTTTGAGTCCTGGATGTGTGATGGAAGAGTGCCCTATGCCTGCACATAGCCTTCATTTGTACAGCAGGTGGTTTTGGTGCTGCAATGATCATGTCTGGGTGATAGCAGTGTTGTGAAATGAGCATTGGGTTCAGTCAGTTGGGTCTATCTTCTTGGGTTTTTCATGGTGAGCCAAACAGTCTGTAGCTTGATGCCTGGGTTTCTGATGATAGCAACTGCAGGCTGCACTCTGCAGGCTGATGCGTGGTGGTTGGGAGTATCAGGGATGCAGACCCGAGTTATATTGACCTTGCCACAGAGAGAGGCTGTAAGAGACTTGGGATGCCCTCTTGTAAATACGCAAATTGCAGCAAGAAGTTTATGGGAAGATGAAGGATGCTGAATTTTAATGTGCTGGGAATTTTGGTAACTTAAATTCGTGGTAATGGAACTTGTGCCTTGCTAAATCCTCTGTGTACGCTGTTAGAAGGACCACTGAAAAATCTGCAACCTGCAGGCAGTTTAAAAATAACACAGGAGACAAGAGCTGCAGGCAAATTTGTAAGGCAGGCGTGCTCTGTTTTCTGATGAATTGGTTTGTAATGCAGCTTTGCATGTTCTCCCCTTTGTTGTCATTGCATCTGTTTTTGCAACTCAGACACAGAGTTAAAAAAGGAAAAAAAGGTTCCCTTTGGTCCACTCCAGAGGGTAGAGACAGTGAGTGGAATCAAAATTACCTTTTTGGCTTTTG